ATGACAGAACCATTGGTGATTCCTCAAGGATCTAGAAATAGAAATTCAATTTGACCCAGCAATCCCATTACTGAGTATATACCCAAAGGATTATAAATTGTTCTATAGAGACACTCGCACATGTATGTTCATTGAGGCACTGTTTACGGTAGCAAAGACCTGGAACCAATCCAAATGCCCATCAATGATAGACTGGATAAAGAAAATGTGGCACATACACACCATGGAATATTATGCAGCCATAAAAAAGGATAAATTCGTGTCCTTTGCAGGGACATGGATGAATCTGGAAACTATCATTCTCAGCAAACTGATGCAAGAACAGAAAACCAAACATCGTATGTTCTCACTCATAGGCAGGTGTTGAACGATGAGCATACATGGACACAGGGAGGGGAACATCACACTGTAGAGTCTGTTGGGGGTTGGGAGTCTAGGGGAGGGATAGTGGTGGGGTGGGAGGATTAGGAAGGCATAACATTGGGAGAAATACCTAATGTAGGAGACAGGGGAATGGAGGCAGCAGACCACCATGGCAAGTGTATACCTATGTAACATTCCTGCAAGATCTCTACATGTACCCCAGAAATTAAAGTATAATAATAATATAAAAAAGAAGTAGAGTTCCTCAGAGTTTTATCGATAATCTTAATGGGTTTTTCCTCCCTTTGCTCACTTAAACTTGTTTATAATGTGGATTACTAAATCCTAACCCTAATTTTTTGTTTTGAAAGTTAGTATTAGTCGGGTGTGGTGGCTCACGCCTGTAATCCAAATACTTTGGAGGCCAAGGCGGGCGGATCACCTGAGGTCGGGAGTTCAAGACCACCCTGACCAACATGGTGAAACCCTGTCTTTAAAAAAAAAAAAAAAAAAGCATTTTTTAGTATCATGTTTTCTTAGTGCAGTAGTGGTGTATTCTACAGTAATATCAGGAGTAATTAGCATGTAGTCATCATGACGTAGCAATAAAATGATTGGATTGATCTGTGCAAAGAAGGACTAGTATTATGGTTTCAGTATTGAAACAATGTATAACAGCAAGCCATTTATAATGTCACCAAGGAGATACATCTTGTACATATTCGCCTCCTTTGTAAATTAGCGAATAATTTTTACAAAAATAAAAGACTAGAGAATATGGTTTGTTAAATAGCAAATAGTTTAGAATATTATCTCGTTATATTTGCTGCTTTTTAAGTTAAATGCAGTACTTCTGTTTATTTCTTTTTGAACTTTCCTCTTTTTCTCAATTTGCAATAGAGCATAATACAATACAGCAGTGGATTTTTTTTTTTTTTTTCTTGAGACGGAGTTTCACTCTTGTTACCCAGGCTGGAGTGCAATGGCGCGATCTCGGCTCACCGCAGCCTCCACCTCCTGGGTTCAGGCAATTCTCCTGCCTCAGCCTCCTGAGTCGCTGGGATTACAGGCATACGCCAACATGCCCAGCTAATTTGTTGTATTTTTAGTAGAGACGGGGTTTCACCATGTTGACCAGGATGGTCTCGATCTCTTAACCTCGTGATCCACCGGCCTCGGCCTCCCAAAGTGCTGGGATTACAGGTTTGAGCCACCGCGCCCGGCTAGCAGTGGATTTTAGAAAAAAAAAAAAAAAAAATTAGAGCACGATACAATACAATGATGGATATTAGAGAAAAAAAGATAGCATGAATAACTCCCTGGGTGGGAGCCTCTTAGTTTTATGGGTTGTTAATTTTCCATTTAATGACTGCATGACATTGTAACTCAGAGAAGTTACTGGTGTACAAACACACATGACAGAATCACCAAACCACCTCTGTTGCTCCCCTCTACCCTTGTCTCATTGGACAGACCAATTTGACCAAACATCAGAGCAGATTTAACCATAAAGAGTTAATTGGATTGTTTTGGCTTTGGGACATACAATGATGGAAAAGAAATTGGGTTTAGTTAATTGTGCTATGAATCACTTCTTTGTAAATTAATGTGTGGCTTCATATTCTCAGAATATGACTGTTTTTTGGCAAATTTTCATTGACCCTATGGGCTCCATTATCAACATGAAGACTTTGTAATTATGGGTGAGGGAGGAGTCTCATTTTTAATTCAGCCAATGAAGACTCCAAGATTTCCTCCTCTGAAATCCACCTGAACGTAACTCCGACATGGATTTCTGGAAGAACCCCAGCTCTTTGCAAAATACGTCATGAGACTTCTGTTGCTGATGGAGTCTGTATAGTTTATCTGATGCCCAGAAATCTTGATACTTGTCCTCTTGACTTTTTTGTTTTTTTTAACCTCTTGACTTTTTTGCAAGAGTTTTATTGAGATATAATTTCATTGGGTTTTTAGTATATTCAGTGTTGAATACTCAGCACCACATTTAATCGTAGAACATTTTCAGTTTACTGAAAATAAACTCTGTACTTTTTTGTTTGTTTGTTTGTTTTGAGATGGAGTCTTGTTCTGTTGCCCAGGCTGGAGTGCAGTGGCATCATCTCAGCTCACTGCAACCTCTGCCTCCCGCGTTCAAGGGATTTTCCTGTCTCAGCCTCTTCAGTAGCTGGGATTACAGGTGTATGCCACCACGCCCAGCTAATTTTCATACTTTTAGTAGAGACAAGGTTTCACCATATTGGCCAGGTTCATCTCTAACTCCTGACCTCAGGTGATCCGCCCACCTCAGCCTCCCAAAATGTAGGTATTACAGGCTTGAGCCACCGCACCTTAGAAACTCTATTCTTTTTTGGCATCACAGTTGAATCCTCATATTATCCCCAGCCATAAGCTACCACATTCTGTCTCTATAGATTTGCCGATTCTGACATTCCATATAAAAGGGATCTTACATTATGTCATTTTTGTGACTGGTTTCCCTTTCTCAGCATATTGTTCATCCGTGTTGTAGCTTGAATCAGTATGGCTGTCCCCACCCCCATCCAAGGGGAAACCATTCTGAGATCCCCCAGTGGATGGCTGAAACTGTATGTAGTGTTTTTTTCCATATACATACATGACTGTGATAAAGTTTAATTTATAAATCAGGCAGAATAAGAGACAGCAACAATAAAATAGCACAGTTATAACAGTATATTACAATAAAACTTATGTGACTGTGGTCTCTCTGTCATACTGTGAGTAACTGAAACCATGCAAAGTGAAACTGGATAGCGGGATCTACCGTATTTCATTTATTTCAATTGCTGAGCAGTCTTTTGTATGGATTTATTGTTCGTCAGTTGATTGGCATTTGTGATCCCACTTTTTGGCTATTATGAGTAATGTTACTGTTTACAAGTTTTTGTATGAATATATGTTTTCATTTCTCTTGGGTATATACTTAGGAGTGGAAATGCTGGGTCATATAGCAATTCTTTGTTTTATTTATTTATTTCTTGACACAAAGTCTTGATCTGTCACCCAGGCTGGAGTGCAGTGGTGCAATTGTGGCTCACTGCGACCTCTGCCTCCCTGATTCCAGTAATTGTCCCAAGTAGCTGGGATTCCAGTCATGTGTCACCAGCCTGGCTAATTTTTGTATTTTTAGTAGAGACAGGGTTTTGCCATGTTGGTCAGGCTGGTCTTGAACTCCTGACCTCCAGTGATCTGCCCGCCTTGGCCTCCCAAAGTAATGGGATTACAGACGTGAGCCACCACACCCAGCCTGTGTTTAATTTTTGAGGAACAGCCAGAGTGCTTCCCAAAGTAGCTTATGCCATTTTATATTTCCATCAGCAATGTATGAGGGTTCCAATTTTTTTTTTTTTTTGCATCCTCTCCAACACTCGTTATTACCTGTGTTCTTTATTATAGCCATCCTATCTGGCCCCTCTCAACTGTTAGATCTGTACCTGTGTTTTATCACTGTGACTCCTGTTTTCTTGTTTTTAATTAAGGTGATCCTTGTCTGACTGGCGGCCTTCTGTAATTTGCTGATTACCATGCTCATGTTCACTCATTGTGTTCCTGGTTTATCACTGGTCCTCCTGACCTAAGTTAGAGCTTGATGGCTGATCTTGGATACAGCCCTGCCTAACCTTGTAAATAAGAATAAAATAAGACAGTGGTTTTGATAGCTTTCTGTAGGAATAAGCCATTCCGTGTCTTAATTATTGTCACTTGTTCTGATAATAAAGTTATATACTACAGTAACATGGCAGTAGTAAAGCTCTTTGTTTGTCACATTAACTGCCTTTCGGATGAGTATGTTTCATTTTGAGTCATGGCATTTGCTAGTTTTACATTATTTTCACATGTACATTGCATTGATGTAAATGCTTTAAATTCAAGTCTCCTTTTAGCAACTCGTAATTTAAGAGGTTGAAGGATTTAGATAGTGTATTAGCTGTAGGAAGTTTGATTTTATATTCTGCTGTACTCTTTATTTAACTGAATGATCTTGGCTCTAATCTTTTCTGTATCTAAAACTGAAATGCTGTAATTGTGCCTACTACCAGGAGAATTCAGATTCTCATTAGAGAATTAACAGAATAGTATGAAGGAAAAAATAGGAAAGCGAAGCTTATATTCTTTAGCACATTATTAATGTTTCAATCCAATGTAAACATCTAGATGTACAGAAATATTTCATAGTAACCACTTTAAAATGTCATACCAGGAGTAAAACATGTTGTCTGATTAGTCTTTTGAATTCTCATTCTTTTATCTATATTTTACTGAAACAGGTTTTGAAGCAATTGTTTGATTTAACCAAATATGTTGCTGAAGGTAGTAAGATATACACTAAGATGAGTTTTTGGTTATTAGAAGTCTTTAAGTAGGCTTATGCTTTATATTTACTGTATTTCTAAAAATTGGGTGCATGAGGAGAGTGATCAGAGAAAAATGTTTTATAAGAACAGTGAAATAATTCATAACAGACATTTAATGTACTGATGAGGAAAAGACACTTCTGCCTTTATAAGGGATCTGCTCAGTGGACTTTGAGAACTCTTCAATTAAATAGTATAAAAAACACATTAAAAATCTTTTAAATATCTAATTTTGTCTTCTAGGCGTTCCTTAAAGTTTCCCATGTCTCAATGGACTCCTGAATATAACGAGCTCTACACCTTAAAAGTGGATATGAAGAGTGAGATTCCTTCTGATGCACCAAAGACACAGGAGAGTCTGAAAGGGATCCTTTTGCATCCAGAGCCCATTGGGGCAGCCAAAAGTTTTCCTGCAGGAGTTGAGATGATTAATAGTAAAGTGGGGAATGAATTCTCTCACCTGTGTGATGATTCTCAAAAACAAGAGAAGGACATGAATGGTAACCAGCAAGAACAAGAAAAAAGTGTCGTTGTGAGGAAAAAACGCAAAAGCCAGCAGGCTGGCCCTTCCTGTGTGCAGAATTGTGTCAAAGAAAACCAGGGAATATTAGGACTGAGGCAACACCTGGGAACACCAAGTGATGACGATAATGATTCCTCTTTTAGTGATTGTCTTTCTTCTCCTTCATCTAGTCTGCATTTTGGAGATTCTGATACTGTGACTTCAGATGAGGATAAGGAAGTCTCCGTGAGACATTCCCAGACCATTTTGAGTGCTAAAAGCAGAAGCCATAGTGCACGGTCTCAGAAGTGGCCTCGGACCGAGGCAGAATCTGTATCGGGATTGTTAATGAAAAGACCCTGTTTACATAGCAGTTCATTAAGGAGACTTCCATGCAGAAAGAGATTTGTAAAAACTAATTCCTCACAGAGGACACAGAAACAAAAAGAGAGGATATTAATGCAGAGGAAGAAACGGGAAGTGTTAGCTCGAAGAAAGTATGCCTTGCTACCTAGTTCTAGTAGCTCCAGTGAGAATGACCTCAGCAGTGAATCCTCTTCTAGCTCGTCAACTGAAGGAGAAGAAGATTTGTTTGTTTCTGCCAGTGAAAACCACCAAAACAATCCAGCTGTTCCCTCAGGTAAAAATGTTTAAGCCGAGTAACACATGGAACTGATTACATTGTATTTGCACTTATTTTTTTGGTTATGTCTTACTGATTTTGTTTTATATAAAAGGACTATGAGCATCTATTAACTTTTATTTTTAAGCTGTATAAATTACCAATTGTAGTATAGAACCCTGACTCTACTTCAAAAATAAAAATTAAAAAAATTTCGAGGACAAAAATAAGTCAGAGTTTTTTGGGGGAATAACCATTTATTACTTTTTTTTTTCTTTTTTGAAATAGAGTCTTACTCTGTCCCTCAGGCTGGAATGCAGTGGTGCAGTCTCGGCTCACTGGAACCTCCACCTCCTGGGTTCAAGAGATTCTCCTGCCTCAGCCTCCCGAGTAGTTGGGATTACAGGCACCTGCCACCATGCCTGGTTAATTTTTATATTTTTAGTAGAGACAGGGTTTCACCATGTTGGTCAGGGTGGTCTCGAACTTTTGGCCTCAAATGCTCTGTCCCCCTGCTTGGCCTCCCAAAGTGCTGGGGTTACAGGCGTGAGCCACCACACCTGGCCTCATTTATTACATTTTATACATACTGGATTATACTATGTATTATATGTGTTTTTAATTTATGGCACACAGTTTTTTTCCTTGTGTTTCTTTAGTATGTTTGACTTTTTTTTTTTTGGAGACTGAGTTTCACTCTTGTTACCCAGGCTGAAGTGCAATGGCGCGATCTCGGCTCACTGCAAGCTCCGCCTCCTGGGTTCAGGCAATTCTCCTGCCTCAGCCTCCCGAGTAGCTGGGATTACAGGCACGCACCACCACGCCCAGCTAATATTTTGTATTTTTAGTAGAGACAGGGTTTCACCATGCTGACCAGGATGGTCTCGATCTCTTGACCTCGTGATCCACCCGCCTCAGCCTCTATGAATACTTATTCAGCTATCTGTATGATGAATTCAACCGTAGTAAGAACAATACTAGTCACTGAAAAAAGACAAATAATAGTTTTTCTTTTTTTGAGACAGCAAGTGGGTCTGTTGCTCAGGCTGGAGTATGGTGATGCAATCTTCGCTCACTGCCAACTTTGCCTCCTGGGCTCAAATCATCCTCTCACCTCAGCCTTTTTAGTAGCTGAGACTATAGGCATACACCACCACATCTGGCTTATTTTTGTATTTTTTGGTAGAGATGGATTTTGTCAAGTTGCCCTGGCTGGTCTTGAACTCCTGAGCTCAGGTGATCCACCTGCCTCGGCCTCTCAATATTTTTTCTTTAAGTACTCTATTTTTGTTGTTTGCTGTTATCATGTTTTTTTATAGCTGAAAAATAATATTAAGTATCTGAGTGTTAACTTTTATTCTTTTTTTTTTTGAGACTGAGTTTTGCTTTTGTTACCCAGGCTGGAGTGCAGTGGCGTGATCTCGGCTCACTGCAACCTCCGCCTCCTGGATTCAGGCAATTCTCCTGCCTCAGCCTCCTGAGTAGCTGGGATTACAGGCATGCGCCACTGTGCCCAGCTAATTTTTTGTATTTTTAGTAGAGATGGGGTTTCACCATGTTGACCAGGATGGTCTCAATCTCCTGACCTCGTGATCCACCCGCCTCGGCCTCCCAAAGTGCTGGGATTACAGGCGTGAGCCACCGCGCCCGGCCAACTTTTATTCTAATACTAAGACCCAGAGACTTTTGGTCCTGACAGTATATATTTTAATATGGACTGTTTCCTATCAGTGCTCTTGTGCATGTGTGCTCTTGCTCATACTCACTGTCTCTCTCTTTTACACACACACGCACACAGAGTAAATGTGATATTTAAGTAGAATAAGTTGATTTGCAGACAGTCCAGAAATGTATGTTTTATGTACATGAACCATCCTAAGGTGCATCAGCTTTACAGCTGTAATTTAAAGGGAGTTGTTGAAGTGAGCATTGAAGAGCTAAGTCTGAACTGAGGGAAAAGATTAATTTCTTGTGAAATTAGGGAATAAGGGAGTGGGCTTAGGGAGAGCTTTCTAAAGGGCTAGCTGGGATCATGGTTTCTGATACTAACAAAAGCTTTCCCAGTTTTACCTTATTTCTTACGTGATAAGGTCAGGGCCTGCTAGTCTACTTTTGGATGTGCCATTTCTGCTTCTTTTCTTCTTTATGAATTCCTTTCTCTTTCAAGACTCTCTTTCCTTTTTCATTTTTATTTTTCTATTTTTGCCAGAACCCCAAAACCAGTAATCTTGTTTTAGTTACCATATCTTAGGCTTAGCCATGTTCAGCTCAGTTTTAACCTATACAAATACTTGTTTTGAGAAGAGTTCATTTTGCTTGTCTACAACCAGCTGAGAGGTATGTAGAGTAAACCATTCCCAGAAGTTTCTTGAGAATAAGGGAGATCAGTTGTCTTGCTTAATTGTCACATTTTTCTCAAGTGATCAGAATGTGAATTCATTAGTTTTGGAAGCGGGAACAGCAGAGCTCTGTTTTGCTTGAAGTTAGTGTAACAGGATGGTTGATGTCAAGCAGAAGTTCTAAGGAGCTGATGTTTATAGGGGAATGAGAATATAGTAATTGAATGTAATTATCACTGCCAGGAGTTCATATATTCTCAACTATTAAAGAGAAGTTTGAACTTAATTCATTTTAAAATCTTATTTAATATTTACTGTAGCATGTGGTTTTTTACTGCCTTTCTTGGCAGAATTACATCATTTTAACTACATTATTTTCATATATTATACTCAAACATTAGAAACAGAAATCCAGAGTGTTGAAACCAAGTACACCCAATGTTTTCTGGTTTCTAGACAAGTGATTTCCTTTAAACTAGTTTCTTAAAAAATAATGATTTAATAACATTCACATGATGTGGAATTTTTAAAGTATCAAGTAAGTATAAAATAGGTAATAAAAATTTATCTCTTCTTCAGATGCTCCAGTCTTACTATTACTCAGAAGTAATCACTATTAGCAGTTTATCTCCTTCAGAAAATGTGAAAGCCTATTTAAAGATAAATAAATAAATTAAGTGGCTTTTTAAATATCACTATGTATAGTTATCTCATTCTTTTTAACATTTGCATAGTATTCCCTTTGTATGGATGTTCCGTAATTTAATCAGCGTTTGTTAGTGGGTTTTTGCTGCATTGAGTTACCTTTTGCTTGTGTTTTGTACACATACGTAAGTATATCTTAAGGAATAATTTCTAACAGTGTTTTAGAAGGTATATGCATTTAAGATTTTGTTAGTGATTGTTACCAGGATGCCCTCCAAGAGGTTTGCATTAAATTCTTCGTTGCTAATGTCATGATGATAATAAAAATACCTACCACTGGTTGGGGCGTACTCTGTGCCAGGAATGTTCTGTTTTATGTGTATTATTATTGAATCCTTCTAGTACTCTTAGGAGATGGATTCTATTATCATGACGCTTATATTACAGATGAAGCATTTGGAAAATCAGTTTGGAATGATTTTTTTAAAACTATTTTTAGAATAAGCTGAAATATTAATGGGATTTTATTATCAAGAAATCTCAGCTCTTTCAAAGAATTAACTTCCTTAGATTTCTTAGGAGATACATTATTTCCTAGTTATATTTTGAATGATTCAAATAAAGTGATTTGGCAAAAAGTTTTAGCTAATTCAAATGGTAGAGTAGAACTTGAACTCAGGCTTTCTGGATGGAGTTGGAATGTCTCAACTTTTAATTTGATTTATTTACTAAAAGTTAATATGATTTGTATGGATGAATGGATATTAGTTACTCTGGAGCTTCCGGGACAACTTTTTCATATATAATTGTGTATATTTAACTGGCTTTAGCAAATCATCTACAGTATGCATGTATTAATTCATTCTCACGCTGCTAATGAAGACTTACCTGAGATTGGGTAATTTATAAAGAAAAGGGGTTTAATTGACTCACAGTTCTACGTGGCTGGGGGAGCCTCGCAATCATGTCAGAGGTGAATGAGGAGCAAAGTCACGTCTTATATGGCAGCAGGCAAGAGAGAGCTTGTGCAGGGGAACTCCCATATATAAAACTATCAGATCTTGTGAGACTTATTCACTACCATGAGAAGATGGTATGTGGGAAACTGCCCTAGCCCCTCCCAAATCCCATGTCCTCACATTTCAAAACCAATCGTACCTTCTCAACAGTCCCCCAAAGTCTTAACTCACTTCAGTATTAACTCAAAAGTCCACAGTCCAAATTTTCATCTGGCAAGTCCCTTCCGCCTATAAGCCTGTAAAATCAGAAGGAAGTTAGTTTCTAGATGCAATGAGGGTACAGGCATTGACTAATTACACCCATTCCAAATGGGAGAAATTGGCCAAAACCAAGGGGCTACATGCCCCATGCAAGTCCAAAATCTAACAAGGTCAAAACTTAAACCTCCAAAATGTGAGACTCAAGGGATGAAAAAATAAGAAATAAAGAAAAAGCTCTAAAATGATCTCCTTTGATTCTATGTCTCACATCCAGGTTATGCTGATACAAGAGGTGGGCTCCCACAGCCTTGGGCAGCTCTGCTCCTATGCTTTGCAGGGTATAGCTCCCCTCCTGGCTGCTTTCATGGGTGGTGTTAAGTGTCTGCAGCTTTTCTAGGCTCACGGTGCAAGTTCTGTTGATGCATCTACTATTCTGGGGTCTAAAGGACAATGGCCCTCTTTTCACAGCTGCACTATGCAGTGCCCAAGTGGATACTGTTTATGGGGGCTCCAATTCTACATTTCCCTTTTGCGCTACCCTAGCAGAGGTTCTCCATGAGGGCCCCATCCCTGCAGCAAATTTCCATGTCGACATCCAGGCATTTCCCCCCAGACATCCTCTGAAATCTAGGCAGAGGTTCCCAAACCTCAGTTCTTGATTTCTCTGCACCCATTGGCCCAACACCATGTGTAAGCCACCAAGGCTTGGGGCTTGCACCACATTGAGCAACAGCCCGAGTTGTAAGTTGGCCCCTTTTAGCTATAGCTGGAACTGAAGCATCTGGGATGCAGGGCACCATGTTCTGAGGCTTAA